GAGAGAGAGAGAGAGAGAGAGAGAGAGAGAGAGAGAGAGAGAGAGAGAGACGACGTATAACGGTCACTCTCCGCGCGTATAGCAGCCAACGACGAACCAGGGCCGAATTTACAACGGATCGTACGTCCTTTCCACCTATGGACCGAGGACATTATGCAAATGAGTCGCGCGAGCGGCGAGATTGTATTTGCGTGAGGATGTCGCAATGGGAGATTCTTGAAGATGCGACCGGGGAAGACGGGTTCGCGGCGCTCACATATTTACGTAGGTGATCTTTTTTTAGATTCCACACTAGCAGCGAGCCTCCTTGAGCATCCCCATCGTCGTCTTCATCTTTATCTTTATTTCGCCTTAGTCCTCATTTTCATCCTCACCTCGTCTCCGTTAGTACATCTTATATTGGCTTCTGTAATCTACTGACTATGCTGACAGTTTCGTGGTCGTAAATACGGCCACTTCGAAATACATTATTACCACTGTCTCTGTAATGGAGCGCACTTCTTAGATAGAACGCTCGCGATTCGATTCAGTTCTGTTTGGTTGTCAGGTGTACACGTGTAAAGTTACGAACGATTATCGTGGCAGAAAGTTTGCAAGAAGTATGTACAACGAGCAGCAGTTGCTGTAAAGAAGGTCATAAATATTGCAAACAGTTCGACGACGAGTTTGGATTCAGTTGATGCATTCTTAATTTCGATTACTGAAAATACTTGACGGGATCAACGTATTATGAGATACTTGCTGCTCGAAATTACATCAATGATGCTGTATTTCGAGTGTATCAGCAGAAATATCAGGAAGTTGCCAATTTTTAGGATCGAATAATGCGAAGGATGCAAGAATAATTTTCAACAATTCAGGTCTATTTGAGAGTAAAATAACATCTTTTCTTCATTCATTTTATCTACATTTTCTTAGACTTTGTTTAATTCTACATATAGATTTTTACAAGTGGAGTAGCTAATGATTATGTGTGATTATTGCCTAAATAAATTACCGAAATGATTCTCGAATAGAAACTCGTTTAAGATGCATTTTGAATTCTCTGATTGTGCACGAGAGTTTCGAATTGAATATAAAATAAGTTGAGGTATATATTCGCCATGTACGGGGTTTAGAGAATAGCGAAGAGAATGAAGTGCGACTGAAACGGGCAGACCTAGAATTAACAATCGGTTTTGCCGGATATATACGTACATATATACATCTCTAATAACACACACCTATATTTTCCCTACGTTTTCATTACTCCTCGCAATGTAATCCCGGCGACGCCGATAAACAATTAACGATTGCGGTATTAATCGGCCACGTCGCGATGCGGCTCGCCTCATTCCTCATCATCGCCGTAGTCGACGTCATCGTCGCCACTGCCGCGGCCGTTGCATACTGCCGTCGTCGTTGTCGTCGTGGATCACGAGCGGCGCGCGATCGATCTCGCTCGGGGAGAAACGAGCTGAATTATTATTCCCCAGAGTTGATTTCCGATTCCGTTCTCCGCGGGACATGACGACGGTGCGGCCGCGGTGTGCCTCTCGTGTAACCAAAATAAACCTCGTACGTGTATACGTGCGTGGTCAGCGAACGAAGAAAAAAAAGAGAAAAGAAAAAAGGGGAAAAAGAGAGGGATGAAGATCACGAAAATATCTGGAGGTTCAGCAGCTTATTGCTCGAGATCGCGATCTCCCTTTTTCTTTCCCGCCCTACCCGTTGCCGGTATTATTCTTATTAATAATCGATTCGAATTATCGATCGGGTAGTCATCGCTGGTCATCGCTGTCCGCGCTGCCTTCGCCCTGGCACACACCGCGCGCGGTCCGTCTGCCTATATTCCGCTCCGCCTGGATGCACGGCCACCGCCGCCGTCGCCGTCGCCATAGCGCGCCGCTCGCCGTTACGTTGTGCGTATGCGTCAGCACGTACAATATCTCTGCGTGCACACGTAGGATGCGTTCGTGTGTGCGCGCGATGTGTACAATGCGCGCGAGCACGGAGCAAGCGAGGATGTGTCGCGACGGAGCAAGCGCGAGAAAGAGAGGAACGTGTGTGTGTGTTTGGGCACGTGTGAGTGCATGGCAGAGTATGGGTGCATACGGTGACCCTGCCGCGCTGGATGAGTGGGTGGAAAATCAGGGACGTAGCGAGGATTTTCGAGAATCGGCACGCACTCGGCGAAAAGTGCGCAGCTGCATCGCGACGTTGCATTCTTATAACATCTCGAACCACGCAGTGGTATAACGATACATTTTTGCCATGCGGCAACATCTCGCGAAGAGAAGTTTGTACTCTTCGTGAACGGAACATTATCGTTATAACCACGTTTCTCGCCGAGTCTTTTACGTCTGTGTTTTTTCGTTCTCCTCTCTCTCTTTATATACCGCGTATATACCCTGTTTTGTTTCAAAAACGGAATGCATTCGAAAGTGCAATGAAACGAGAAATAAACATCGCGTTTTTCGGCGAAATTTATCGACTTCTTTCGCCAAAATCTACGACAAGTTCTCTTTTTCTTCTCTCTTATTTTGGATATCTAATACTACGAATTTCTTATTATCATCTGATTTTCATGCGTTATCTTATATTACTTAATAAAGCTTTTCCACATCGGCGTATCGAAACCACAGAATTTCGAGCAATCGTATCATAATAATTATATTTCTGTATCATCTTTGTCACCGCGATTATTAGACTCTATTCCATAATAAATAATACGAAAACTCATTTATCAAATTTTGTAATATTTCGTGCGATAATTCGTACATTTTTTCCTGATTAAATTTCCGAAATGATCTTGAGGAGGAAGCCATGATGAAATTCTACATATCAGGCGCGCATTCGCTCTTCTCTCTCTCTCTCTTAAGGGTGTCAAAAGCAAAACCTCTTGACACGCTCCTGCCTGGAGCGACACGTGTCCGTGTTGGGGTCAACGAGCGAGAGGGATGTAATGGTCAGGGAGGACGAGAGGGCGATGTTCACGCGTGGGAGGAAGAGAAAGGGATCGAGGGAGAAGGAGTGAGATCTAACGGGTGTGTGTGGGAAGACCCGCGCGTGAGAGAAGGACGGTGCGAGTTGGACAAGGATCGTCGCTTCGCGAATGAGAGAGAGGAGAGATCAGCCGTAGGGGGCGGGGAGGGGGTGGATAAGACTAGCGTGCGAGAAAGAGGATCCGCTAGTCGGTGGGATAGTGACAGCGACACCGTCGAAGCCCACATACACATGCGCACGCTCTACACACACGCCAGCGGATGGGGCCGTCAAGCTCGCGCACTACAGACTAGCGGACTCCCACCACGAACTTTTGGAAAAATCAATAGAATACAAGAAAAGCCCATGGTGCGCCAGGCGAGCGGAGCCCTCTCCTCTTCCACCCTCGTCGTTTCTCTCTCTTTTTCTATCTCGTCTTCGTTCCCGCTTTTTCTCTTTTCCTCTCTTTTTCTCTGCCTCTTTCTATCTCTCTGCCGCCCTCCCTCTTTCTCGTCGCATCTCTCGCGCGCACACGCGCGGTGTATCCGTGTTCGCCGCTGCTCGCAACAAAGAGAGGAAGAGATCGCGTGTACACACTGGTGATCGACGGACGGAGATAGGCGGCATGCGTGCACGCACGACGGCCAAGGACGGAGATAAGGACGATAGTGGGAAAGGGGAGCTAGAAGGAAGGGAAGGGGGGAAGGCTCAGGATTGTGTGTGTGTGTGTATCCGACAGTATCCAAGAGAGTGAACGGAGAAAGAGATGGAAAGCTAAAGGAGAGAGAAAAGGAGAAAGGAGAGAAACGCAAATCGCCCTATGAGCTTGAACAGAGATAGCGAATGCGAAAGGAAAAGGAGGGAGAAAAATGCGTCTGTGTGCGCTTAATAGACGGGGCGGGAAGAAAGAGAAAGAAAAAAGTCATCTCGGTAAAGATAGAGTGAGCTGGAGATACGTATATCTACTCCATGCGTATCTAAGACCGTGAGAGAGATGTCTGTATGTATGTCGTGCGTGAAAAAGACAGGAAAATACGATGGTTCAGCCGAGCTAGCGCGAATAGCTCACGACGAGCGTTACGTAGGAGCGTTCGCT